GGCCTGCTCGAGGCAATCGACGAATAACAGGATGGTCGTGATTCATCGTGATAACTATTATGATCATGCTGTGACTCCTGAGTTTCATTAATATGGTCACCTTAAATAACAAGCCCGTTTCTGTGTGGTGAGTTAAGTGAGGAAACAAGTCACATTGCCTGGATTTGCAGCTGATCTCCTCCTTGGGTCTCTGTGTGTTTATTTGGCAAGTTTCTCACACAGATACGTGAACATTCTCGAGTGTGGCTTGTCCACAGGTGAGCACCTGAGGTCTGAGGACAGGCCCCAAGGAAGACCTGGAGATTAGCACCCGAGTGGGTCACAGCCAGGGAGCAGAGCCCACGATAAAGGGTCTGGTGAGACAAGACCCCTCAAAACTCAGCAGTAGGTGACAGGCCACTCAGGGTCTCCTCACCACCATCAAAAGTCTATTGTTCACCATCCCCTGCCCTTCAAACCATAGCCAGAGACTGGAAGGAGGGAGCCAACTTTGCCAGATGACTCCGTCCCCAGGGAGGAAACAGCAGGAGACAACTGGGACACAGTGAAACATGCAGTATGTGAGACAGCACCCACTAGTCTCTGTTCTCAGTCCTGCTGTGTCAGAGGGTCGCTCCTCTACCGCCCTAAGACCTGACTCTGGTCAGGGCCAAACCCACTCTCTCTGACTCCAAGCCAGTGTCTTCTTCCCTGACCAGCCAGTCAGAGTTTGAGCTGGTTGACAGTGGGAAATGTGAGGCTGTCAGTACTGGGGAAGGCCAGAGGAGAGAAGGCTGGTAGTGGAGAGGCGGTCCTGCAGAGAGAGAGGCAAGGGTGTTGAGCATTAGCAAGGCCTCACCCAGGAAGTCTCTGGCGGTGATTAGGAAAGTGTGTGAGAAGAGCCAGAAAGGATGCGGAGACACTGGCGACTGCTGGGCTGCCAGGATGAGGGTCAGGGCCTCCGACATGAGTGTGAGAGTCTTCCAGCAGTCAGGCGGAGGAGTGGTGGGGGTAGGGTGGAGGGGAGGGACTCAGGCTCATAAGCAGGTGGCTAGGCCAGGGGACAAGGGTACCTCATGCATTCTGAGAAAGAACAAAGTTGGAGAACTTAGATCACTTTGATTTTGCAGCAACAGCCTTCAAAGCAGTTGCTATTGTCAGAAGGACAAATACACAGAGCAACAAACAGAATAAAAAAGGCCAGAAATAGACCTACATAAATATGCTCAATGGATTTACAACACAAATGTCAAGGCAGGCTGGAGAGAGAGGAAGCAGGGGAGAGAGATAGCAAGCAGGTGCGGGAGAGATAGGAGGCTAGAGAGATAGCCTGGGGGTAAGGCCTTGCATGTGACCCACTCTGGCTCACTTTCCTCTCTCCGGCACTGCCTATGGTTTCTTGAGCATCATTAGGAGCCCTGAGTGCCAAGCCAGGAGTGTGACCAGCCTCTATTACCTCCTTAACAAAAGCCAAGGCAATTCAATGGCAAAAGGATAGTCCCCTTAAACATCTGGTTGGATTTTTTTGTTTGGTTGGTTTGGGTTTGGGTATCACATTGGTGGTTCTCAGAAGCTGCTCCAGGGTTCACTTCTTGGGGGAACTTGTGTTCCTGGGGATTGAACCTGGCCCTCCCACATCTGCTCCAGCCCTTCAATTTCTCTGACACATTCTTTCAACAAGTGGTAATAAAAAAAATTAGGTATAAAAAATTAATTCTGATCCATACCTTATACCATACAAAAATGGTAGTCTAATTTGACTTAAGATCCTTTAAATATCAAATATAGAAGTAGAAAATTGATTTAAAAAATATTTGCACCCTAGGTTTGGCACGAAGACAATTTTTGAGAAAAGAAGCTGATGTACTCAAGTTTATGACAATGTAGAACTTTTTCTTTCTTTTTTTTTTTTTGCTTTTTGGGTTGGAGCGATAGCACAGCAAGTAAGATGTTTGCCTTGCAAGCTGCTGACCCAAGTTTGATTCCTCCGCCCCTCTCGGAGAGCCTGGCAAGGTACCGAGAGTATCTCGCCCACATGGCAAAGCCTGGCAAACTACCTGTGACGTATTTGATATGACAAACACAGTAACAAGTCTCATAGTGGAGATGTTACTGGGCCTCCTTGAGCAAATTGATGAACAATGGGACGACAGTGCTACAGTGTTTTTTGGATCACACCCAGCAATGCACAGGTGTTACTCCTGGCTTTGCACTCAGGAATTACTCCTGGCGGTGCTCAGGGGACCATATAGGATGCTGGTAATAGAACCCAGTTCGACCGCGTGCAAGGCAAACGCCCTACCTGCTGTGATATCACTCCAGCCCCCAACGTAAAACTTTATTCTTATTATGGTTAGATGAAAAAAGACTTGTATTCAGTATGTATGTTTGTATGTATTGTATATGTATATATATATAAAATGCTTAAAAGTTAATTAAATTAAATAACCTTATTACAGAAAAACTAAAGGAGACACAGTGGTGGTAAATAAGCACACAGAAAGGTGGTCATTATAATTCATTGTCAGAAATGTGTACATTAAAACTACAACAAGGTAGTCCTACATGTCTAATAGGAGGAAAGGAACAAATGAAAATAACTGATCACCTCAGGTCTGGCAAGAACGCCCAATGGGACTTCCCCTCACTCCTGCTGAGAATGCAGAAAGGGACAACCTCTTTGGAAAACAGCTTCTTAGAAAGGTTAACACCGCCCTCCTATATGATCTAGACATTTAACTTCAAGTTTTTTACCCAAGGGAAGTGAAAACCGATGGTTTCACAGAAACCCATACATCGATGTTTATAGCAACTTCATTCATAGTCAACGAAAGCTGGCGACAGTCCAGGTGTCCTCTGGCCGATGAGCAGATAAGCTCCCCGTTCTCCACTGTGCAGTGGCACGTTACTCAGCAATAACAAAGAAAGAACCACTGACTCACGGAACAACAGGATGAATCTCAAGTGCATTTTGCTAAGTAATGAAGCTGGGAACAAAAGGTAACATATTGTGTGATTCCATTCATATGACATGCTGTGAAAGATAAAACGATTGGAGTGGAAAACAAATTGGTGGTTGCCAAGGTTGAAGGGAAGGGCTTGAGGACAAAGGAGTAGCTCGAAGGAAGTCTGGGGATGGCGGAACTGGTCGGAGTGCTACTGAACTGGTTAGGAACATGACAGGCATTTGTCAGAACCCACAAGTGTGGATTCTGCGAGAGGAGTGAGGGTTACTTTAGGCAAACTGAAAAAAAAAACAACTGGGACATAAGGAACCCAAGATAGAATATGGATGGTGACTGATGAATCAAGGATTATTACAAACGCGTGACATGATCGCCTTGAAGGAGGAGGTGGGGGTGAAAGGATTTGCTAAGCACCTTTGGAAAATGGTTTTGCTTGGCTTCTGTCAGTTCAAACCAACAAAGAACTGTTCACAAACATGGTTTTGTGGTACATTTGTTTCACAGGGGCACTGAAATTACTGTGCATACATACTAGAGCTAAACAAATATGAGATCTATTGCAGATAATGACATCCAGGTCCCTCACTTCAGAGGAGAGTTTAATAAGCAAAGAGGAAATGCTAGCACGATCCCTGTGGGGTATATGAATTCATGTGGACACACACACAAATAGAGAAATAAATACCAGTGCATGCACATACATGGGTTAGTCTATACGCACGCATTTCCCAACTCAGCTCTCAGTTCTGTCATCCCTGGAGGCAGTGAGCTCAATTGCACTGAGCCTATGTAGCACACAAATCTTGGTTTCTAAATTTCATTCTCCCATAAAAGAAGTCAGATTTTCTTGGAGAAGGGATTGACTCCAGGTATGGGTCAGGAAAAATACAACACTATATAAAAAAAAAGTTTATATTGAAAAGACAGGACATAAAATGAGGCGTGCAATTTCAGAAAGTATTATATATGTACTTTCCTGATTTCTCCTCCAAGGATATCTTAAACCCCTGCATTATATATATATATATAAAAAGACCCTGAGAGATGGAAAGAAAAAGAGAAAAAAATTGGCAAAGAACTTCATGACCCCAAGAACTAGTTCTTTGGGCTTTGTTTTGTTTCAGATATCCCGAACTTAGAGTCAAAGAAACACCAATAGGCACAGACAACAGCAGCAATAAGTCCTGACAGAAGCCTCTTCTTTCTAGTCAAAGGATCTGAAAAGGGACAACATAGCAAGTCAGAAAATTTTTACAAGGAAACCTCCAACTGGGGCCTGGATCCCTCTCAGACTCACACCTGGAGGCTAAGTGATGAGTCCAGGCTTCGATCGACACCTGGCCGTGCCTTCCATTGCCTCTCTGAGTGGTGTCAGGGAAAACCACCTGAAACCACCTGGGTTCAGCAGAAATCTGAGTTTCAGAAAGCAATACAAAAATACAGTTGTCAGTAAAGAGTCACTCCTCATACCAAAAGCCAGGATCTCTCAAGCAAAGGAAAAATAAAGTCATTGATAATGTCACCACTGATAGGATAGAGGTGTTGGAATTGTTTGATAAAGGTTTTAAAGCAGCATAAAAACACCCAAAACAAATTTTTTAAATTCCAGGTCTCAATAAAGAAATAGAAAAGCTCAATAAAGAGAGACAAGTTTGAGGGCCTGGAGCAATAGCACAGCAGGTAGGGCGTTTGCCATGCATGCAACCAACTCGGTTCAATTCCCAGCATCCCATATAATCCCCCGAGCACTGCCAGGAGCAATTCCTGAGTGCATGAGCTAGGAGTAACCTCTGAGCATCGCTGGGTGTGACAAAAAAGAAAAAAAAAGAAAGACAAGTTTGAAAGGAAAAAAGAAAAAGAGGTAGAAATGTTAGAACTCGAAAGTGCAGTGACAAAAAACTTAGCAGATGAGCACAGTAGTAGATGTGCGGAAAAGAACAAGGTTGCAGAGACGTGTAGATCTTTGCATGCATGGCACTGGCATTCCAGTAAAAAAGATAAATGGCCACTGGTGTTGAAAATTATATTCAGCTCTTTTACCAAAAACCCACCAACATGGGCTGCTTTTGCACCAATACCGAGAAGAAGGTGGCCTGGGTCATCATTGAGAAGTACTACACGTGCTTGGGCAATGACTTCCACACCAACAAGCGGGTGTGTGAGGAGATCGCCATCATCCCAAGCAAGAAGGTCCGCAACAAGGTCGCTGGCTATGTCATGCACCTGATGAAGTGCATTCAGAGGAGGACCATGCGGGGCATCTCCATCAAACTGCAGGAGGAAAAGCGGGAGCGGAGGGACAACTATGTGCCTGAGGTCTCAGCCCTGAACCACTTCACTGAAGTGTACCCTGACACTAAGGAGATGCTGGAGCTCTTGGATTTCGGCAGTCTGTCCAACCTGCAGGTCACCCAGCCTACAGTTGGAACGAATTTTAAAATGCCACATGGAGCTGTGGAGCTGTGTAAATTTGCCTTGCTGTGATATTTTCAGTAAACTTCATGAAACACACACGCACACAAAAGAAATATATACTTGCAAGAAAATGCCAAATTTGGCAAATATATATGTGCTGGAAAATGCCAGATTTGGCAAAAGACAAAACCAACAGATTCAGGAAGTTTAGTGAAATCCGCAACAGGAACAAAAAAAAAACCAAAAATCTGCGGCCTCCTAATCAAACTTCTGAAGAAATCTTGAAAGTATGCATAGAAAAAAAAGATAGAAAAGCATAGAAAAAAGAAGAGTGTGGGGCGATATATTTCAGGTGCTAGACAAAAATGGTAACACAGATCCTATATACAGTAAGAATATCCTTCATCAATGAAGGGAAAATCGAGAGATATTTCCAGATGACATAAAAGCAAAAACATTTGTCCTAGCACACTTACCATAAATGGATGCTTAACTTTTTTATACAAGGAAGAGATAACGTAGTAAGCAACGAAACTGGTAAATAAAACAAATTTTCTCTTCTTGAGTTTATTTATTTATTTGATTTTGGGTCCCTATACAGTGCTGCTACAGGCTTATTCCTCACTCTGCACTTAGGGATCACTCCTGGTGTGGCTTAAGGGACCATATAGGGTGCCAGAGATCAAACCGAGGTCTGCCATATGCAAGGAAAGTGTCACATCCATTTTACTCTCTGGGCTCTCTTCTTGAGAGTTTTAATGACCTCTTTCTAATGTATAACACTATCACTATCACGGTCATAGATTGGCTTGAGTGGGTGCCAATAACATCTCCTGTCTTGTGCTAGTGTAACTTGATGGCATATTGGGGTCAGGGGAATGAGGACCATCTAACTGTCTAGTGCTCGCTCTCTAATGTATATAAAGGATGTATTTTAGATCATTATAAAGTTTGTGAAGAGATACGTTTTCTTAAGAGGAGATAAAATTTCACATATTTCTGCAAAACATATGAAGCAAAAACTGATACAAAAGAAAAAATAGACAAATCTGCAATTATAGGTGAAGATCTCAACACTTTCTCTTATCATTTGGGATCTAGATTGCAAATATTACTTTGCTCAAGCAGCAGCATAAAATAGTACTCGCAAAATTATTATCACAAGCAAGGATAGTAATAGGCTTTGGTAAGTTATGTATATATTTTAACAGTTGTGAAGCCACTAAAATTCTGTACAAAAGTATATATTCAAAATCACTATAATCAAAATTCAAATCTAAAATATGTTCAAGGGAGGAAAGGAAAAAGGAAGGAAAAAGAAAAGAAATTTTTAAAAACATAAAAATATGACCAAGACTTAAACCTGAAAGCTTAGTAACTTTTCCCACAATGATTCAATAAATAAATATAAGAAGAAAAAAATCTAAGTGTATCAATTAACAGATATAGACTGACAGAGCCAAATAATGAATACAACCCTACTATATGGTATCAGTCAGAAGCTTTCTGCATTTATAATGATGTAGGTAAGCTGGAAGAAAGATGATGGAAGAATAACATGAAGACATTGAGTAAAAGAAAGCAGGAGTGGCATATTAATATTAGATAAAGTAGATCTCAGTGCCAAAAAATCTGCAAGACTGAGATGGGTGTTATATAACAATACAAAGGACCAGACCCCCAAAGAAGACATAGAAAACTTAAATTGGATATAACAAACAAGAGAAATTCAAAATATGTAAAGCAAAAATGACAGAACTGAAAATACAGACAAATCTCTAATTAAAGTGAAGACTTGGTACTACTCCCCCCCTCAATAATTTGACAACTAGCCAGCAAATCAACAAGGGTACCCCCTCAACCAGAGATCTAATTGACATTATAAAATATCATCACTTAGCAACATAAAAATATAGAAAATGTTCAAGTAATCAGGAAATATATTCCAGATAGATTATGTACAGGATCATAACAGGTTCAGACACAATGAACCTCAATTAGCTGAAAATATTTCAAATCATAGGGTGTTTTCTTTGTCTACAACAGAATTAAACAAGTAATGGATAATCTGTGATGATTGATCACAGTGGAAACAGCAAAGAGGAGCTGTTAGTTCTGTTTCTCAGTGAACCTTTATGATATCATCCCAAAGAATATTGAATAAAGACACATTTCCCCCATTATTGTGTTAAACTGAAGTATTGTGGCTCCTGATTATAAAAGTTGTCTATTTGATAAACTCTCACATATATGTCTGAACGATTTTTTAAACAAATAAGTTATCTGTTTTTTTGTTTTTGTTTTGTTTTTGTTTATTTTTAGTGGGGCCACACCCAGCAGTGCTAGGAGATCACTCTTGCCTCTATAGTCAGAATTCACTCCTGGCTTGGGGGAACATATGGGATGCCAGGGATCAAACCTGGGTCGCCACATGCAAGGCAGGTGCCCTCCCAGCTGTGCTATCACTCCAGCCCCTCAATGTCAATGATTTTTGATAAGGTGTTAAGATCATAATGAGAGAGCACAGACTTCAGCAAATAGTTCAGGAAAGTTGGATACCTGCAAGCAAAAAGTACAATTGGACTCTTTTGAAAGAGCTCAAGGGGAGAGCCAGAGTAATAGTAGAGTGGGAAGGTTGTGCCTGAGTTAGAACTCCAGAACCACATATGGTCCTTTGAGCACCACCAGGAGTGATCCCTGAGTGCAAAGCCAGGAGCAAGACCTGAGCACCACCAGGTGTGAGCCCCAAACAACAGTCCATAGGTTAAGTGCATTTATACCATATACACAACTTAAAGCCAACACATCAAAGATATGTGTAAAAGCTGCAACTATGAAACTCCTAGAATAAAGAGGTAAGAAGCTTCATGACATAGGGTTTATCAATCATATCTCTTATATGGCAAACAAAAGCACGGACAAAAAGTAAATAAATTGAACTTCGTTGAAGTTAAAGACTTCTATGCACCAAAGAATGCAACCCATAGAGTAAAATGTCAACTCACTGGTAAAGGTAAAGGTAAAGGCCCTCCCGTTGATCGTCGATTTGCTCGAGCGGGCCCAGTAACGTCTCCATTGGAGACTTTGTTGTTACTGTGTCTGGCATATCGAATACTCTCGGTAGCTTGCCGGGCTCTCCAAGAGGGGCGGAGGAATCGAACTCGGGTCGGCCATGTTGGCCGCTTGTAAGGCGAACGCCCTACCCGCTCACTGAATAGGAGAAAAATATTATAAATTATGTATCTGGTGTGCAGTTAACATTTGTAAATCATTTGTAATTCTGTGAATCAACAACCACAAGCAAAAAAATCATTTAGAGATAATTAAATCATGAGGCAAACAAAAACCACAATGAATTATCAGTACAGATAACTAAGACAACCACTATCACAAAAGAACAAAACAGAAAAGAACAACCATTGGTGAGGATGTGAAATAGAACTCTTGCACTTTGCTGGTAAGAGTGCAAAATGGTGCAACTCCTATGAAAAATGGTATGGTGGTTCCTCAAAGGATTAAAAGTAGAATAACTATATGATGCAGCAGTTCTGCCAAGTATATCCCAAATAGTTGAAACAGGGTCTTGAAGAGATATTTATCCACTCATGTTCATAACAGCCTTATTCCCAGTAGCCAAAGAGTAGAAGCAAGACAAGTTCTCATTGATGGATATAGATTATTTATGCACAATCTAGCATCCTACAGGAAGTGGAGTACTATTCAGCCTTTAAAAAGGGAGGAAAAACTTCAAGCTACAAGATGAAACCTTGAGAACATTATGCCAAGAGAAATAAGCCAGTCACAGAAGACAAACTCCGCATGATTCCACCTACATAAGGCCATGAGAGGAGACAAGTTCATAGAAACAGAAAATGGAAGGGAGGCTGCCAGGACTGGGCAGATGGAGGAAAAGTTCTAATTTAAAGGGCTCAGAGTAGCAACAAAGAGATAGTTTAAGGGATTAAGGCTCTTGCCTTAATCAGCCAACTCTCAATTCTCAGAACTGCCAGGAGTGATCTCTGAGCAGAGTCAGGAGTAAGCCCTGAGCACTTTGGGGTATGAACCATCCCTACCCCCCACCCCAACTCCCCCAAAGGACATATGGCTTTGGATTTGCAAGATGAGAAACATGCTGAGGATGGATGGTAGTGGTGCTGTGCTCAGTAATGTTAATGTATTAGACACCTAGAAAAATGGCTAAGTGGGTGAATTTAATCTCATGTGCCTTTTTTTACATTAAAGAAACTTTATTTTTTTGGTCATGTTAGGTTGCCCTTTTCCAATTCCTTGGTTAGACACAGCTGACTTTTGTTTGAGCTTTTTTTTTTTTGTTTTGGTCAATGTCGGTTGAGGTTTCTGGGTTGTTGACTCTTTTGTTCCAAATATGGCTATTGGATGGCAGATGAAGACCAGGCCACTCATCACTGCTTCTTTCCTTGGACCCTGAGGCGACTAGTACCCAGCCTCCCTCACCCACTCCCCTGAAGAGTTCTCTCAGTGTCTCCCTGAGTTTTCAGTTAGATTTAGAAGGCAATATTGGGGTCAATATATATCTTCTCACAGTATGTACCACACTCATTGTGACCCCAGTCATCATTGTAACTAAGGGAAATAAAGAATGTGGAGATAGGACTCATTCCTTCCAAATCTCAGAGGGGCCCCAAAGATTCTCAGAGCCTGACTGTGGCTCTAGAAGCCAGGAATGAAGCACAGAGACACTGGGACTACGTCCTCTGAGCTCTGCAGCTGGTCTGCCTGGTTGGTGTTCCTGGGGAATACCAGGAGGAATGAGGAAATCATCTGATTCTCTGACAGGCTATGGCTTTCTCTTCTACTGTCCCCTGCCCTGCTGCTAAATCTCCACCTAAGGGGGTGTCCTGGGATGGCTCAGTGGCAAAAGCACTTGCCAGGCAAGCATGAGACTGACGAGGTTGTGAGTTTGAGCCCTGGCACTGTCCCACCTGCCCAAGTGGGATCCCAGGTGCTCTGCTGTTTGGAATCCCAGATGCCATAGCCAAAGTGTGAGGCTTCTAGGGCAGGGCAGTCAAGTGTGTGTAAGCAACACAACT